TTTTGGTCGGAGTTCCACCATCACCTCGCTCCGATACCAATTGTTGAGCTAATCCCACCTACAATTGAACAAATCGACCAAGTGAGTGAAGGAATTGAATTGAAAACTTAAGGAACTCAAAATGAAAAAGAAGAACTAAAGAACAATGTTTTCCCTTTTGATTTGGCTAAGAAATAATCAATCCAACACCACTAAGGCAACTCCAATTGGAGATTTTTCAGTCATAGAGATAGTGGCTGATTTTCTACCATGCACAAAGAAGAGACCGATTTTTGGTGTGTGGAGAAAGTGAGGCCAAGAGTCCAATTTACATGCAAAGGAAAACAAATTTCCCATAAAGAATCTGTAGGATGAAGTTGAAAAAAATTGAAAATGGTTATTAAAGATAAGGACAGTATAACCATTGCAACCATCTAAATCTCACATGATTTAGAATTATCTCTAAAGTTGGGTATTGAGTAGCAAGCCTAGTGGGCTGATTTTTTCTAAATACCCAACACAATTGGGTTACATCAATTGTGATAAAGATTTATAATTCTTCAATTCTGGGCTTATAGCCTATGAAGTTAAACGGGCCTCGATTTTTCAATATTGCCTAGAGAATTTGACATAACTTACTAAAATGCCCAATAGAGACGATAACCATATTTGTGCAATGTTGAGAACTATCTAGAGATGTAATCTCTAAATATAGAAACTAGTGGCTTGTGATTAGATGGCATCATCCACGTGAAAACATAAAGATCAGTGAAAATTACTTGGTATTCGTGAGGCAGCCATGCTGATTCCATCTTTGTATATTTCAACTTATAGTATTAAGAGACGAGAATTTTAATCATATTTTCATTGATATCAAAGTAATTTATACTTGTTATACTTTAAAGTTGCCTAGTTAGTATAAAGAATATGGATTTATGATTCCATAATAATTTAGTCCTAAAAGTAAATATCAGATTTTTGAGTTACTTGGTGTCCGTGAGGCAACCATGCTGATTCCATCTTTGTCGAAATCCTTCCATGCCCTCAACTACAGTTGCCAAAATCAAGCGCCTAAAACAAAAATAATACCTTATCTAATTACTTTACCATGATGAAATTTGATCTGACGAATCAGCATAATTAAACTATGACAAAATCCGTGGAGTGAATGATGGCATATAATTTATACTATCTTATATAGAAATTTCCGCTCCTACTCATCGGAAAAAGACTTGAACTTTCATTTGGACTATACTGCTTGGAGACTTTGAGTTGACATATAAATTCAAGTCTAGGACGTTTTAAGATGATGACAATTCTTTGAGTTGCATTTTTCCTGCCTGCAAAAATATACAATTCTAGTGCTTGTTTGGTAGGAATTTTGATAATTTATTTTTTTATCGCTAAAGTTAAAGTGGGTCCTATCTGTGAGAAAAGAATTCAAAAATGACGGCTGTAATAGTGAAATAACGATAAAAAAATTGATTTTAATTGACTTAAATTTTGTACCAAACAAACTCTAATAGTTTGCCACGTAAAGCAGATGGTACAGAATGTCCAACGTGAATGATTTTAAAGAAGAAAAATAGAGATTAACATTTTATTAGTTGTGCTGTCTATTCAATCATTATTTCAAACTATTTTTTCTCCATAATTATTTTTAATCAAATAATAAAATATTTTGCATATAAATTAAAACTTATTCCCTACTTTTAACCATTCTCCTAAAAATTACTATCAAAAAAATTAATGCTACGTATAGCCCCAATGAAGTTGTAACTCTAGTTTAAGTGACGTTAGATGATAGATTAAGAGTCTGTTTGATTACAATAATGAAATTTGGATGAAAAAAACGAATTTTAGGGAATTGAATTGCTTATAATTTGTTTTATTGAAAATTATCAATTAAAAGTGTTTGATTAATATAACTTTTCGCCTGAAAAATATTGAAATTTTGAATTTTTTAGTCTTCATTTGGCTTTGTTTTTCATAAAAATTGTCAATTGAATGGTTATAATTTATTACAACTGTGGATAAAATTTGTTTCCATTGTCAAAAAAATTAAAAATAAAAAGAAGTTGGAAAATCCAATTTCCACCAAAACTAAAAGAAAATCAATTTCTTAAAATCCAAGTAAATGTGGTCACGTAGGGGTTAATTGAAAAACCAATTCTATGGAAAATTTTGACCGTCAAACATACCATTTGCGTGCATTTTTCATGGAAAAAGAAGCCTATCAAACATGCCGTAAGAGTCTATTCGTTTCCCACTTTTACAGTAAGAATGCATATTGAAATAGTTGATTGATGAAAAATGTATATTAAAAAATAAGGAAAAGTTTTTGTTTTGCGTGTAATATTATTTTATTGAAAAATATGTGGTTGAAAAGAAAAAAAAGAGAAAAATATTTTTTTAAGAAAAATGGGTATCAAACTAGACTTAATAAAATGTTAAATTAAATGAGTTATTTAATTTCACTTATCACATTAACGTCATGTAGATTGAAGTTACAATCCCAATGAAACTAACATTTTTTTTTATGATCGTAAATATTCAAACCAACTTACGTGTACCTTGATAATCTCACGAAACCCTAAAATTTAGGACTGAATATTCACCTCATTGTTATACTTTTATTGAAAGATGGTTGTCAAATAAGGAATAAATACTAAAGATTTGTTTGAGCCTCCTTTTTTTTTTTTTTTTGAAAATGCATTTTGCAAAATTGAATTTTTCAATAATGTGACGGAATAAAAACTAAATATGTGTTTAAGCCCCCATTTTTTTTTTTTGGTTGAAAATGCATTTTGTAAAAGTGAATTTTTGAATAATAAAGTAGAAGTAAAAACTTTAAATTTAAGTTTAAAATATTTTATTGTGGTATGTGATTGAAAATAATTTTGATAAAAAAATGAGTTTTATTATAATAGAGATCAAACAGCAACTAAACTCATGTTTAGCCCCCATTTTTTCAAAATTTCATTTTTTCAAAACTCATTCTCCAACAAAATACTGCTTCAAAATACATTTTGACCAAAAGATGGAGCTCAAACACGGGCAAATATTTGGAGTACTATGTTTCTGTTATGCTGAATGTAATACTTTCAAAGATGAACTTTGGTGGCCAGGGAAAACTTGTAACAAATAAGTTTGCATCGATTCTAACACAGCTCGAATAAGCACGTCTTTTACTCGAGAAGATGCAAGAGCTTACTGTGCTAAGAATTTAATCACGTAGAACACCTAAAACAATACAAAATATAAGAAAAAGAAACTCCAAATTAAGAATATTACATCTTCAACGTCTTCCTCAACTACTTTAGGAAAGAAAATTCTGAAACCCAAAACTAAAAATTCATGCCGAAAACATAGACAGATGGAAGATCTTCTAAAGGAAAAGTTTTCGATTTACGTGTAATATTATTTGATGGAGGATCGTGTGATTAAAAATAGGATAGAGAAAAATGAAATGGAATGGAATTGAAATTAATGGGGGCCAAAAGGGGCAATATCAGTTCATACACAGGTTGATGCAAAAAAGGCTAAAGAACAAAGCAAATATCAATTCTCAATATGGTAAAAATGGCCACTTCGGAAACAATGGATTGAAAATTAGCAACACATTTTTCGAAGTCGGCAGGTCACAAACAACTAAATCATTTACAAAACTATTGAGAACGTCCAACAACCTCAAAGACACGTAAACAACACTAGCATATGTATGCATACAAACTCGTTAAAATGTCGTGACAGATTATAAGCAATTCACATCAGTTCATTGAGTAATCTATACATTTGTTTCAAGTGGTGCTAAAACATATAACGCTGATAATATTCATTATAGTCAAACATCCAACTGAAAGTAGATCTGATATAGAAAAAATGATCAGCGGATTAATATAAAAAAGGAATCTCTAAATGTCATTTATCCTTGGCCAAGCCAACTTCAATTCAGATACTTGGAATTGATAGATTGGATTGCCAGAAAAATCGTAATTTAAAATTTTTATTAATTCCAATTCTTTCATCAATTCCATGTTGCCAAGCTTTCATTGTGCTTCATCAAAATCTTCATTCACCACATTCAAAGAATATTAACACAAATTCTAAGTGTGATTAAAAATAGGATACAGAAAAATGAAATGGAATGGAATTGAAATTAATGGGGGCCAAAAGGGGCAATATCAGTTCATATACAGGTTGATGCAAAAAAAGGCTAAAGAACAAAGCAAATATCAATTCTCAATATAGTAAAAATGGCCAATTCGGAAACAATGGATTGAAAATTAGCAACACATTTTTCGAACTCGGCAGGTCACAAACAACTAAATCATTTACAAAACTATTGAGAACGTCCAACAACCTCAAAGACACGTAAACAACACTAGCATATGTATGCATACAAACTCGTTAAAATGTCGTGACAGATTATAAGCAATTCACATCAGTTCATTGAGTAATCTATACATTTGTTTCAAGTGGTGCTAAAACATATAACGCTGATAATATTCATTATAGTCAAACATCCAACTGAAAGTAGATCTGATATAGAAAAAATGATCAGCGGATTAATATAAAAAAGGAATCTCTAAATGTCATTTATCCTTGGCCAAGCCAACTTCAATTCAGATACTTGGAATTGATAGATTGGATTGCCAGAAAAATCGTAATTTAAAATTTTTATTAATTCCAATTCTTTCATCAATTCCATGTTGCCAAGCTTTCATTGTGCTTCATCAAAATCTTCATTCACCACATTCAAAGAATATTAACACAAATTCTAAAGTTAAAGCACTGGAGTTAAGCCCAAAAACTATAATTACGACACGTAATCAACATAATCAATTCAAAGGATCTACACACAAAAAGCTCTAAAAGTGGGCAATCCAGAATCATTTCATAAGCTTGCTACTGACAGTACAAAATTTATTTACACTAAAAAGAGCATAAATTTTTTATCAAGAAACTGCTGAGATTACAAGTACCACAGACAAAGCATATAAATGTGTAGAGAGGAGAACCTGAGGCAAGGACATCCTTCAAGTAATCGGCTGTGGGGGAGGTGTTGCCACCCAAACAGGCCAACAAGTAAGCAGCGATAATCTTCATTTCTGTTCAAGAAAAACAATAATAAAAACATTTCACAAATTCAAACGTATAATAAACTAAACCTTGTTCCCAATTAATCTGTGTACAGATATATATGGGAAGTTCATATTCAGACACCTACCTGGTGATTAATGTGCAGAGATCAAGGATCCGACACTCGGCGGGCTCTGCTCCTCTTAGGGTTTTATGAGGTAAGAGATGATGAAAACTTGAGCTTCGGCTATATACTCCGATAGCAGAGGGCAATTTATACCTAGGGTTTTTTGGATTGATGGATTCTGAAATATTTTTATTTCCTGTATTACCCTTGGGCTTGTCGAGAATGGACTTAGATGGAAGAAATAACACTAGGCCCGAGTCTCAATTTTTCAAATTTCATTTCCAACTATACATTCTTCTATAAAATAATAGTATATGTGTTTCAAAATATTTTATTATTTTTTAACCATACATCCTCTAAAAAAAATCACTATTCCATAATACATTTTACCAAAAAAAGGTGATCAAATTGCTATGAATTTTGTAGCATTGTTTCATAAATTTTCACTTATAGCATCATCTTGTTAATTTTGAATACCAAACTGTTAATTTTCACTTCCCGCCCTTTGTTGAATATTCTTATATTAGTACTCAACTTTGAATCCCATTCTTTATGTGATTTGAATCAATAATTATATTCACACGAACGACAATTTTAGTTAACTACCTAACATTTCAGGAGAACAACAGTTTTTGTTAACTACACAAATACAATGAAGTCTTCAATTTTTATTTATATCCTCGACTTTTTCCATCGTATTTTGCCTTCAATCTTCTATTCACAACTTGTTCCTGATGATGGCCGAGAAGTCCATTACGTGGTATAAAAAGACTTATTTGTGTCACGTATTTTTAATTAAGTGAGATAAACAATAAATTTAAAAGTTAACGGAATATTTGGATAGAAACTATCATTATAAACAAGATGGTCAAATTAATTGAGCACTAAAAGTAAAAATGAGGTGAAAAGGTTGGGAATATAAGTGAACAAGAAACTCCAAATTGACCAAAAACAAGGAACGGAGGGTGCCACCACAAAACACCGATTTATATTGCGCCACCAAAATGATCAATTCGACTATGGAAGATATCAGATTTCACGTTCTTAGGTTTAGTAGGACGGCAAAGTCAGGTTCCTACTAAATCAAAAACCCACTCTTACTCGGCACCACCTTTAGATTGAAAGAAATAAATATTTATGGACTTTGCTACATGTTACATAATGGATTACGTAATAATAACATATCTCTATTATTTATCAATTTAAAATTCAATCAAATTTTTATCCAATCTTTTCCTTCCACTTCATTTTATGTCATCACTTATGTATCATTTTTATGTAGAACTAACATAATCCAATATTTTTAAGGTCGAGAACCTTCCAAGTCATGCATAAACTACATTCGTGTATAGACTAGGGAATCCTCAAATACACCAAATTCATTTCAGTTTTCAACACATTAGTGAATGTCAAACTAGCAAAACAGGACAAAAGGGTACAACTTTTGTTGTAGAGATATGTCTCTTTAGACATGTATTTTTCAACAAGACGTGTCTTTTTAGACATGCATTTTTATTGAGTTGTGTCTTTTGATTCACAATTTTTGGACCACTATATATTGATTTTTTATGATTGAAATTAATTTATTCAATTCATAAATTGCATATCATGTTGATGCATATTCATTTGTTCATTTACTTTGAATAGAATTTCATAAAAGAGAGTTCAAAACATTAGTAAGGTTTGTTGATCTAAGAAATTTGGAGTGTTCATATTGCAGGACGTGATTCTTGCATTTTGGGAGACGAATGTCGAAAAATCGTTAACACCCTAGCCGGGGCATAATCGTTTTAAGGACCAAGAGTTTATTTCTTGTCTCGATTTGCATTTCTCATTTCTATTTTTCATATTCAATTTTGGTTAGTCGAAATTCTGTTCAATTTCATGCACGTAAAAATTATGTCATTAGAATATAATTTATGCATGTTTATATTTTCCTAACAATCTTAAACGATTATTTATGTGCATATTATATTCTGTCATAATAACGAACTCATTTCATGATTTGTGAATTTTGTTCTTGGAATGGGGATGCTTAATGCATGTAGTCTCATGATAAAATTAAGTTTCTGCTACGGCTTATGGATCCAATTGTTTGAACTTTAATATTGTATATAATTGCTATCTATTTTGCATATATATGTGGAAAGTTGGATTCATTATGCAATTTGGAATTAAACACGAGACAGCAAATTTTCTTGACTTGCAGTACGTATTCTTTTAGTGGTGACTCGGTAACGCAATAATTAGAAGTGAAGCCACTATAATTTTATTTTGCAACGTTGTGTATGAAACAAAATAATGCGATAACCTAATTCTTGATTCCAACACGACAACAAGTCCTAAGACAATTCAAATCTGCTGATTTTAGAGACCAGATGGTCTTCTTGATTGCAGAGTACACAACAATATTTAAATACAATATTTCGTCTATTCATGATGCACAAGTTTATTTTTATTATAAAATGTACAAGATTGCCAAATAATATAGTGGAAAACGACAATATCTATTGATGATTTAAGAGAAAACATCCACCCCTGCGTCTCCCCAGTCATCAGTTGTTCCACAGCAGATGAACCTGATTTATTAATCACAAATAGATTCAAGATTTCAATGTACTATACAAAACTAGCCACCACATCTTACGAGACACATGGATTAAACATGAAAAATAGTCACATACAGAAGGGCTTAAGGTGACACAACATGACTAGAAAATATTTAATTTAACACTGAGATGGAACACTCAGACAAGGTAGACATGTTAGGATTTCGAACTGAATTCAGAGAGTCAAAATTGGGAAGCTTCCTACAGGAGATCAATTAAATGAATGGAAGGAAGTTTTTGAAGTAAATTTTGACTTACCATTAATCATGAAGTTTTCTTGTAAATCTTGTCACATACACATATATCGAATTTCCAACATTGTTGAAGAAGTTGAAATAGACATGTCTCCATGAGTCCTTGAGAAATAGAGTAAAAATAACAGCCCAGAATCCAAAAATGAAACCAATGCCATACAGAAGTAAAACTCTCGAGTTTTGAACCCATTATCTTCTTCAACATTGTTTCCCTTTCCATAATCAGTTAAGGAAGGATCAGGAGCATCTTGAGGACACTCTGCTAGAGGACGCCTACATAGTTTGTTGTTCCCACCATTGGTAGAAGGGTTGGAGCTTTGTAGTTGAGTGCCTATTGGAATTTTCCCTGTCAAATTATTGTATGATAGGTCCAGAATGTTGAGATAGTTTAGATTTGCAAGGCCAGTGGGAATCTCTCCAGAAAGCTGATTTTTAGACAAGTCGAGCCATTCCAACATCTCCATTTGACCAATGCTTGAAATAATATTTCCCGTCAAATGGTTTCTAGATAAGTTCAAGAAAATTAAACCCTTCATATCAGACAGTTCTTGAGGAATAGTTCCAACTAACATATTGCTAGAAAGATCAATGCCTTTTAGAAACCCAAGCTTTCTATATTCTATCGCTTTTCCTTTCCATTGAACTAAAACATTGTCGACGTATCTTTCAAAGAAAACCTCACCGATTGGTATTGTTTCAATTGAACTATTTTTCTCAACCAAAGAAGTAAAATTGTTTAAACATCGCGGAATTTTGCCTGAGATATGGTTTATAGAAAGGTCCAAGATTTGAATATTGACAAGATGGCAAATTGTTGGAGATATTTTTCTATGAAATTGATTAGATTGAAGGCTAAGACCTGCCAATCTTGTTAGATGAGTCCCTATCCATGCTGGAATATCTCCTGTGAGTTTGTTTTCTCCCAAATCAATCATTCTCAAGGTTGTGCAATTTTTCAAAGAAGATGGCAACTTGCCCATGATATTATTGTTGCGCAAGTGAAATGTCTGAAGCTGATATAAGGCACCAATGGTGTTGGGAATTTTACCCCGAAAATGATTATTTGCTAAATTAAGAATGATTAAATTTGTTAAGCTCTTCCAGCAGTTGGGAAGCTTTCCGGATAACTGGTTATCTGAGAGATCAAGGATGGAGGCGAAGAAGTCACTGGGAATTTTGCATACATAAGAGATGGATCCAGAAAACATATTTTTGGAGATGCTTAAAATTTCTGATTGAAAAACAAATAGCGGTATTGGACTCGAAAAATTATTATGACTCAAATCCACAATCTTAGGAAATAAGTCTTTGGAGACTTCAGGAATTTCGCCTCTCATCTGGTTATGAGAGAAATTTAAATATCTTCCGAAAGACATATTCCAAAACCAATCAGGTACTACATTTGATATGCCAGCAACAGATATATCAAGATTTACATAGCTATTCTGAGTTTGAAGCCATTTTGGAAAATGAGGACCCATATTGCAATAATTAAGGAATATGTTGCGGAAGCTCTCTTAAAAGATCTTCAAACGGTGGTTTTTCAGGCTCAGTCCAATGCACTTTTCTCAACCAACAACCAGTCCAATTGGCTCCAAATCACAACCAATTGATTCACCTTGATTACTATTCAATCTTACCCACGTAGGACAAGAAATGATGATGATTTATCGCCACAAAGGCTTACGGAAGACACCACAAAGGTATACTATGAAAGAACCATCAATTGCACACGTTATACAAATGTTTTGGACACTTCTGGACGCCTTTTTTCTCACACAAAGGGGGACAACCGGGATTCTCTTATTTCTTCTCTCAAAATCACACAATCATCATTAGAAAGAGGCTAGGGTTATATCCATATATATACTCTGGGGTTAGGCTTTAGTTGGGCCATTAATGAAGTAAATGGGCCAAGATTCAAGCCATCCAGAAGGAATACAATTGGGTCGGGTGTAGCTCATGGACTTGGTTGTTGGACTTATTTCATTCATCGGCCTATGCCTATGAAATAATATTAACCCACGTTAACATCATAGCCCGGGATTTATTGGGTATCAAAAACCCAGCAAATCTTCACCTCGATGCTCAATAAATCTGCAAGCAATCAAAACACACAGTTAACACTTGCATAATCAAGGTAGCCAATCAAATTGGATCACAGATCTTACCTCGTATTTCCAACTTGAAACACATATCATACCTACTCCATGTAACACAGATCTTTTTGGAAACATGTTCACATAGAACCATAGATTAACACCAAGTCAATCAAACCACGGTCAACCACATATGCAATGCATGCATAAATGACCTCGCGAAATATCTCACCACACTTATCCTATCCCATTTCGTGTTACTCACACCTCGAGAACACATATCTCCTCTCATCGCCCACCATACTCACTAGATAGATCACACAACTCATGTCTAACTGGTAAGTCACAATAGATCTTAAGTCCACGGGTTAATCCTCTATCTCCACATCACTTTTTCCAACCTACGTAGATAATGGGTCTCCACCTAATAGAAGTGATAGAAGTGTCTCTCTCACACTCCACCTGATCAGGGTCTCTTTCCAGATAAAGGATTCTAAACATTTGATCACATCTCTACTCGTGATCCAAATGTCACACTACACATCCCCGGTACAAACCACCATGTACCCCTACGCATCTATACTCCACCTTACCAAAAGGCACACAACACATTGCTAATACATCTCAAACTCACTGTGGCAAATTAACACCTTTCGGTGACCACGAAGGTTACTCCAATCACAAAGCTCCAAAGATCTACAAAGAAAATGGTGAAGGTCGCACTCACAAAAAAAAATCGAAGAAAGAGTCGGTTATTTCACAACACTCACAAAAGAGGCTCACACAGATAAAGAAGTTAACCCTAACATGGCTGCCTCACATAATCTCACAAACCACACAGGCTCACAAAGAAAAAGGAGAGAAACAGTTGCTCAACTTTCTTTTCACTACCACATTCTCACACCACTCACAGAGGAAATAAAGTTCGCCACAAAACTCAACCTACTATGCATGTAAACATATTACACAAAGTAATAAGTCACTCTAATTCATGCAATTACACACATCAAACATATTGAAAGTGTAAAATCAACATTGCAACAGAATTAAGTGACCACATACATGCAGAAAGTATTACACAAAGATGCAATGCAAGAACCATGTTTATTTTTTCAATAAACCTCACTAGGATCACTACTTGAATCTAAAGTCACATTCACCTTGTCTCTATCCTCATCTTTCCTTTTATTATCATCCTAGGACAATCTCTTTCAACTATGTCCAAATTTTACCACAGTTAAAATATATGTTATTTTTCGCACTTACCTTAGACCTACATTTGTCACCAATGCCAAATAATGACCACAAGTAAAGTATGAACATAATTCACATAGAATAGTCCAGTAAACTTTCCTAAGGCCATATGCAATTCTAATAATGTAGAAAAATTGATAGCAAATTCACAAAGAATTTAAGGCAAATAATTAACAAATAATTCCTAGGTCTAGCAACAGGCAATGGTTATCCCTTCATGGTAACCCCAAACCTAATGTTACCCCACACGATGACCTCTAATGCAAAAAATAAATTACTCCACACATTTATTTTAACTGCAATAATAAAAAGCAAAGAATACGATACCGAGCGGACCACGTCTGAAGGTTCGTAAATATTAAGAGACGCGAATTCACCACTTCAAGACTATCACTATTCGTCCTAAAGTCTCTGGAAACTGCAGCAACCAAAAAATCACGGTTGAGTCCCGAACGCTCGATGAATAATGCTATCCAGATTTTACTGCGTACCCTGAAACAGAAAACTTCCAACGTAAAAAATGTCAGAAATAATATGAGGAACAAACTGCCTGAAGGGACCTTCTCAAAATTCCATTCCCACGTATCTCTTCTTCTCTGCGCGTAGGCCTCACGCGCCACTATACGTGCCGTCGTTGACCGACATGCGCCGTCCTACAGGTTTGCCTCGTCCTACACGTCACGTTAATGGTCTCTGTTTCTCCAAACTAGTTCTGGATTGATCAAAAAACGTGAAAAACGGAGACTGATTTTGACAATTTTTGGACAGCTTCTTCGATCTGATTTCTGCTACGTTTTTGTCGATTTTCTAGATGATTTTTCGTAGATTTCACGAGCCAAAACCTTCATCTTGAAGCTCTAATACCAATTGTTGCGGAAGCTCTCTTGAAAGATTTTCAAACGGTGATTTTCTAGGCTTAGTCCAACGCATCTTTCTCAACCAACAACCAGTCCAATCGGCTCCAAACCACAACCAATTGATTTACCTTGATTGCTATCCAATCTTACCCACGTAGGACAAGAAATGATGATAATTTATCGCCACAAAGGCTAAGAGAAGACACCACAAAGGTATACTATGAAAGAACCATTAATTGCACACATTATACAAACGTTCTGGACACTTCTGGACACCTTTTTTCTCACACAAAGGGGGGCAGCTGGGGTTCTCTTGTTTCTTCTCTCAAAATCACACAATTATCATTAGAAAGAGGCTAGGGTTATATCCATATATATTCTCTAGTGTTAGGCTTTAAGTTGGGCCATTGAAGAGGTAAACAGGCCAAGATTCAAGCCATCCAGAAGGAATACAATTGAGTCCGGTGTAGCTCATGAACTTTGTTGTTGGACTTATTTCATTCATCGGCCTATGCCTATGAAATAATATTAACCCACGTTAATATCATAGCCCGCAATTTATTGGGTATCAAAAACCCAACAGAATATATCATTCAATTGAAAAGGAGGATCCTAGTCAGAGCTCAAGTTCAAAGTCAAATAATAGAAGGATAAATCCAGGCGTTTTAAGTTGGCAAGATCAGTGATTGTACCTTCCAACAAATTTGAAACGACAAGGAAAATTTCAAGCTTGGAATGTTGCCAAATGCCTTCAAGTAGCCTTTTCAATTGATTTTTGGTGAGATACAGTTCTATCAATGACGAATGTACTTTCAAAAATGATTACATCAGTGGGGGACTGCAAATTGCATTACTCTATCAAAAATGATTTCTAACTTCTAACACAAATAGTCAATTTAGCCCCTGTTTGATCCCCATTTTGGGGCAAAATGTATTGTGCAATATTGATTTTGAGGAGAATGTGTAGTTAAAAAATAATAATTTTTTTTAAATGCGTGTTTAATTATTTTATGGAAAAATGTGTGATTGAAAATAAAATTTAAAAAAATACGTTCTTGAAAAAAAAATGGGGCTCAAAGAGGGTGTTAATATTCATAGGACGGGTAATTGGCACAAAACGTCCTTATCTTTAAAACTTATTGTGAAAAATGTCCATACCTTTCATTTTTTGACATTTTTGCCTCTATTTCCATATTTCTTTGCGCTAAACGTCATTTTTACCATTTTCGACGTAAAATGACCAAAATACCATTCCATCTCAACAAAACAAAAAAGAAAAGAAAAGAAAAAAATTGCAACTATAAGCCCAAACTTTCCACATGTGCAAATCAGCCCAAAATTGAAAAAAACACGTCTTCCACAAGTCACCCCCTACTCCCATTCCACCGCCAGTAAAAAATCCTAAACTGCTTTGTTTAAATGGTGATTACAGCAATTGATTCACTACCTAGAGTTGTTATACTTTGAATTGTATTCTAGTTGGAGCAATTTGTTGATTGTAGATGTGGAGGAACACCAATTGAAATGGGATCGAAGGGTTTTGCGTTTTTTTCCATTTTTTGAATGAATTGCCATGTCCAGGCAAAATTGGGGAAGACCCATATGCTCATTGGATGCGCCATGAGGAGTAGGTACTTGAGGTGGTGGTGCGCGATCATGGGTCCCATCACCAGCATCGAAAAATTCGCCCGAAAATAGCGAAATGGCTGTATTTGAAGTTGCTGCCTGTTTGGTTTGATTGCGTGAATTAAATGACATTTGAGGACCATGGACAGGGACGTCTTGGTGTGTATATTCGACTGGAATGTTGGGAATAGCATGAGTCTTGTCAGAACAGGTGGTGTCGCCTCGTATTTGCATTTGCGAGTTCGATATTTTAGCTTGCAATTTCTACCAAATCTGTTGCCATGGTAATTGGATGTTGGGTCGTATGTGTAGAGGGGAGTAAGGGCTATCCAGTGGTATGGAGGTCCGACGGTTTCGGTGGAGGCTGGTCGGAGTTTTTTTGCTTCAAAAAGGTGGTTGATTTAAGGTAGTTTGCTGACCTTTTTTTTTTTTTTTCCCAATTTTGGGCTGATATGCACATATGAAAAGATTGGGCTTATTGTTGCAATTTTTTCTTTTCTTTTCTTTTTTGTTTTGTTTAAATGAAGGGTATTTTGGTTATTTTACGTCAAAATGGTAAAAAGGACGTTTAGCGCAAAAAAAAGGTGGAAATAGGGGCAAAAATGTCAAAAAATGAAAGGTAAAGATATTTTTCACAATAAGCTT